CACGCCGAGGTGAAGGCCCCGCCGGGCCTTCGGCTGCAGTTTCCCGCCACGCTGCTGCTCGGGGACAAGGAACTGCGCCATGCAGCCCCACACCCGCGCCAGCAACAAGTCGGGCTTCTGCCCGGTCAGCAGCTGGTGTGGCGTCGTCCCCGACGGCAGCGTCGACCTCTCAAGGCAGTTGCGGACCCAGACGGCCTGCCGCAGAGCGAGGTGCCACCAGTGGTGCTGCACGCCCATGTGTAGCAGCATCGTCCGCACCGACTCCACCACCGTCCTCATCTCCCGCTCCGCCATGCCGTTCTGCTGCGGGGTGTACAGGCAGGTAAGGTTGTGGACAATCCCCTTGCCGTCCACGAAGTCGGTGAACTTCTTCCCGAGGAACTCCCCTCCTCGGTCTGAGCGCAGCATCAGCACCGACTTCTTCACCCACCTCTCAACCAACACCAGCCACTTCTGGAACTCCAGCAGCACATCCGATTTCTTGGCGACCGGCCTCACCCACACGAAGCGGGTCTTGCGATCCTTGAGCATCAAGAAGTACAAGCTGCCGTCCTTGGCAGCCACGCGGAACGGCCCGCACATGTCGATGTGCACGACGGCCAGCATGTCAGCTTCCCGCCAACACACAAGACACACGGTGAGTCGGCGCCCGTCGCCGACTTGAGGTCCAACCCTATGGCGACCTCGTGCTTCGCCGAGCTCTGTATGGTGTCCATGCCGACGTGCGCATTGTCAGAATGAGAGAAGTGATTGTACTAGCAAGATTGGGAGTACAAGTAGGAAAACCCTAGAATGTTGTACCCCCTAAGGCTAAACCTATTGTAGCCTACAGAACAGTAACATATACAATGTTTGACACACCCCCATAGGCTAAGTGGGGGAGAACAAGGGGTCACAAGACTAGTCAAGAAAGACAAAGCAAGGTCAGGGTGGATCACAACGTCACGACACACACTGAGCACAAGCAAGAGGCCACAAGGCCAGTTCACATGCAGAGGCATATATGTAACACAAGCATCACAAGCATCACAGTGATCTATACCAAGCAAAGCAAGCATGCATATATATATATATCTATATATATATATATCTATATATATATCACAGTACAGGCAAAGTCTACAACAAGTGAGGAAAAGTGGGCACAAGCCCTAGCAAAGTGCAGAAACGCTGATGATCACCAGACTGAAGTGCCTTGATGAATATATCAGCAGTGTTGGCCTGAGTGGCCACGTAACGCAGACGAAGTTGACCACGCTGCTGCAACTCTCGAGCCAGGAAGTAACATAGAGCGATGCGCTTCGTTCTGTGCTCCAGTCTGTGCTCCTCACACAAGGCAATGGCTGCCTTGTTGTCGACGTACAGCACTGGAGGAGAACGAGGCCGCTCTCCCAGGTCGGTCAGCAGGTAGGTGAGCCAGCGTATCTCCTGTGCAGCCATGGCTGTGGCGTAGATCTCAGCCTCACAACTGGAGCTGAGAACTGAAGACGAACGCGTAGAACGCCACGAAACAGAGCCAGAGCCAAGGCTGAACGTGTAACCCTGTGACGATCGCTGAGTAGCCTGGTCGTCAACACAAGAAGGGTCTGAGTGCTCAGTGAGAACAACTGAGCTCCTCCCTCCAAGTACGAGCCCCATGCCTGATGTACTGCACAAGTAGCGCAATACCCTCTTTACAGCATCCCAGTGCACCTTTCGGTGCCTACCAGGAGCCACGTAGCGGGCCAGAAGGCCAAGAGGGTACGCTAGGTCACGACGAGTACAAGTCATCAGGTACATGAGGCAGCCAACTAGCTCTGGGTAAGGACCACTCGGCTCCACGGACTCATTCGAAGGCAGAGCCGAAAGCGAGTGACCTGTAGCCAGAGGAGTTGCCTGTTCCGAGGACCAGGTGAAGCCGAAGCGCTGAAGGACCTGCTGCACCATGTGTGACTGAGTCAGTGTGATGGTGCGGCGTGCTCTGTCCCGGGTGATCTGCAAGCCAAGGTAGCTGCGCAGTTCACCCAGGTCTGTGCACGTGTGTCTCTTCTGCAGCTCCGACTTCACGTAAGCGAGAGCCTCAGTGTCAGCAGTGGCAAAGACCAAGTCGTCGACGTACAGGAGGATGTAGAACGGCGGCAGCGACGTGTCGGTGCGCAGAAACAGTGACGGGTCAGCAGTAGAAGGCGCGAACCCAAGAGCCGCAAGAGTTGTCCTCAGTGTGTTGTGCCACTCACGTGGCGCCTGGCAGAGACCGTAGTCCGGCCGCCGGAGGCTCCACGAGGTACCAGGAGGAAACGACCAAGTGAAGCCAGGAGGGCGGCGCAGCCAGATCTCCTCGTGCACGCTGCCCTACAAGAAGGCTGTGCTGAAGTCAAGAGAGTGAAGCTCGTAGTCACGTTGAGCGGCAACGAGCAGTAGCACCCGAAGAGTGGTCATCTTTGGGGTGGGGGAGAAGGTCTGGAAGAAGTCTACTCCCTCTCGCTGACTGAAGCCTCGAGCAACGTAACGAGCCTTGAAGACAAGCGGAGAACATGGCGGCCGCTCCACCCTGAAAATCCACATGCCACTGACGATGTTCGCCCCAGGAGGGGGAACCTCGTCGACGTAAGTGCCAGTGGACTTCTAGGATGCCATCTCTGCGTCCATGGTTGACTTCCACTGAGAGGAGTAGTCACCCGCGATCGCCTCAGCGTAAGAGCGCGGGGTCGGGATGTCTGGTGCATCTGGGTCTCCCTCAGGTGCAATCAGCATGGACGCGAGATGAGGTACAGCAGCGGCAAAGCACTCAAACTCCTCCTGCCTGTCCTCAAGGACGTCTGTGCTAAGAGCACGCTCACCCGCGACGGACGGAGGATAGACATACTCAGACTCAGCAACAAGACTAGCAGCGTAGTCTAGACGACAGGCAGCAGCAAAGTCGACCTTCACGGTCATCTCGCGGTTGGTCGACTCCGAGGCCAACATCGCTTGGGCGAACGCGCACTCTTCCGCAAAACCTCGTCACCACGTAACCTGGTTGACCGGGCAACCACGTCAACCAGGTGCTCCTGTACGTGCCCGTCGACCTCCCAAGTTGACAGCCACCTCCATTCGACTTCACCAGGTCGACCACACCTCTGGTCGACCAGCTCCAGGTCGACATCACTCCTGGTCGACCAGCTCCACGTCGACCAGCACAGTCGTCAGCCGACCACCCGAGTCGGCTACCAGAAGTCGGCGTCACCAAGTCGGCACCAACTTCCGGGCCAACCTCTTGAAGTCGGCGACCTCCCAAGTTGGCGACCTTGCAAGTCGGTGACCTTGCAAGTCGGTGACCTTGCAAGTCGGTGACCTTGCAAGTTGGTGACCTTGCAAGTCTGCGCCTACTTCCAGATCAACGTGCCACATTGCCGACCACCAGTTGAAGTCGGCTTCCGGCTTCCCAAGTCGGCGGCATTGCAGTGGCCCCGTGCAAGTCGACCAACCCTGTCGACAAGCTCGCCCAAGTCGCGTCACCCACTGCTGCAAGTCGGCTGTACCTCCCGTACACCCAACCACGAAGTCGGCTCCGCCCAAGCGAGGACGGGGCCAACAACAACTCCCGTTGACATTTTCTGCTTGCCTCCCGTTTCTTACCCTATACTGACGGCCGTTTCTCCACCTCTCCCCGCAGCTGCATCCCTGAAAACCTCAGCCCTTGTGAACGTTTCTTGAAAGATCCCGCGGTTGTACTCACCTCTACAGGAGGTGTGTGGGAGGAGTGGGTATGTGTGCAAACGGTGTGTGGGAAGGCGCAAGGGAATCGTTTCGAGCAGGCAGCGGCTCACGTCGCATCTGCTAGGCACAAGGGAAGGCAGAAGAAGGACAGTGCTGCAACACGTGCTAGCAAGCACTCTCAGAAGTTGGCTGCTTTCAAGAAGGAGTTTATTGTCAAGCAGGCAAAGAAGTGTTCAGCGGCTCAGTTAATAACACACGGTTGGGTCCAGTTGATGACACGACCAGATGGATTGTGGGAGCAGGATGTGTAGTTGGTGACATGCTGGTCCTTTCCTGTATTAGGATGTATCGTTGCAATGAGGATTAACCGCTCGTGGATGCCGTGGGGCTCAACGAAGTGGATAAATGGATAAGCGCAACAGCCTCACCCTCCTTGAGCTCAACATTAATGGGCTCGGAAGCAGCGGCAAGCAGGAATGTCGCGTGAAATGGCTACAAAAAGCAGCACATATCGTTGTACTTACTGATACCCGTGTAGCAGCTGACCACAATTTCTGGATGCTAGTTAGGACAGAGGCGCAAGCGGTGGTAGCGGTGGTAGCGCCGGCGCAGAGAGTAGGAGGCGTAGCGGTGCTGGGGTTCCTGAAGGAATGAAATTCACAGACGTGGTTAAGCACGAGTCAGGTCGCATGATAAGCCTCATGATCAACTGGCAAGGTTTAAAGTGCAGGCTGGTTGAGGCGTACTTCCCAGCACAAGCTTCAACTAGAGGAGTCTTCTTCAGAGAGGTTCTAACACCCTTCGTGTAGGCCCTGGGTGCGGCGCCGCACACGGTTTTCTTGTGTGATCTGAATATTGTCGCCGACCAGGGCCTCAGAAGTCAGCGAAAAAAGGCTGATTTAGGTAAAAAAGGCTGAAATTTCATACATTTTTTAGAACTTAGGCTGATTTTTCAGCAATTTTTTGAAAAGAAGCATGAAATACTAGTAAATTTGTAGTGTAAAATAGCGTAAAATGGCTCATTTGTCTGATTTTTCAACAAAACGTTTTGTACCAACTCTGATTTTTCAGCCCAGGCCAAAACGAATCTGAAGCCCTGTCGACGACCCAGAGCTGGATAAGTCTTCGAAACTTGGGTCGCTAGCGGAGATCAGAGGATGTTACAAATCTGCTCGAGTTGGGACTTGCAAGTCGCGTTTCGCAGTATGCACCCAACCCGCAAGGAGTACACCTTCTTTTCAAGATCTGCAAAAACAAGCACAAGGATTGACAGATGCTTAGTCTCACACTTGCTACTCAGCTACGTGACGGAAGCAAAGCACATGATGGTTCCCTATGGATTGACAGGCCATTGGTTTGCGGCTGCAGTAACGCTCAAATCGGCTTCGGCGGGCGGAAACGGGCCGGGGCTGTGGCGTCTGCAAGCTGCGCCGGCAGGAGGGGAAGGAGCTAAGAACATCATCTCGGCGGTGCTGGACGCGCAGGCAGCGCATCCAAATCAAGGCCTGGACAGGCTGCTCCTGAATCTGCGCGCGGGCATGAGGGCACACGTGGCTGAGGAAAGGAAGAGAATAAAAGCGACTATTGCTTACTTGGAAAGAAAAGTGGAGAATCTACGGTGGAGAGTGATGAGCGACCCATCAGCACAAGATTCCTATGAGGAGTTGGTGAAGAACGAGGTAGCCCTCAAGTTACCATGACAACAACAAGGAGTGGCTGCAGGTGATGATAGGGATGTTGGCGGAGCTAGCGGGAGAAACACCGTCGGCCTTCCTTTCATGGCTTATCAAGTTAAGGAAAACAAAGACAGAGATTAGTGCTTTGATGGTAAACGGTGTGCTAAGGGAGGGAGCAAGGGAGGTGCTACTGGCAGCATTAGAGCATTCAGTGCAGCTTTCGGGGCAGATCAGAACCGTGGTGAGGTGACACTGTGGCCAGTCGAGGAAGGGGAGAAGTTGCTGGAGGAGGACCGGATGTTACCCAGCACGGAGTGGATGGAACAGGAGGTGAAGGAGGCACTGAAGGGCCTTCCCTCGGGGAAATCCCCTGGTCAAGACGGGCTCCCGAAAGAATTCTTCGAACGCAACTGGGAGCTCATCGGGCCAGCAGTGATGAAAGAAGTCAAGGCCTTCGAGGAGACGGCGGTGCTGTCGGAGTCCTTTCTAACGGCGGTTACCATACTCCTGCACAAAAAAGGGGACAAGGAGGTATTAAGCAACTACCGGCCGATTGCAGTGCTGAGCGTTTTCTATAAACTACTGGCAAGAGTGATGGCAAACAGAATCAAGCAAACCTTACCGCGGGTGATTGCAGAGAACCAGTTTGGCTTCCTCCCGTGGAGGAGCCTGGGGAGGCAGTCTCATTGGTGGCAAAAGTGATCGATGCAGCTGCCGAAGAGGACGAGGACTGGATGCTGCTTCTGGTAGATTTTCAGAAGGCCTACGACTCTGTGTCCAGAGAGTACCTGTATTTGACACTGGAGCAGATGGGTTTCCCAAAGAACTACATGGCATGGGTGAAAGGGTTACACAACGGTGCTGCCACCAGGTTACTCCTCAACGACTGGATGGGCGAACGAGTGGAGATGAACAAAGGTGTGCGGCAGGGTCGTCCACTTGCTCCATATCTCTTCATCTGCACTGTAGAACCGCTCTGCCAAGAAATCGCGAGGAGGAAGCTGGGAGTCAGGAAAAGGGGCATTGAAGGGGAGCTGGCATATATCGGATATGCAGATGACACTACTCTGGTCTTGAAAGGAAAAGAGCAGATGGAGGTGGTGAAAGCGCTTCTGGACGATTTCGCGGTGCTCTCCGGTCTAAGGATCAACCGCGACAAGACGACACTGATGCCGCTGGGGAGGAACCGGAGGCGGGTGCCGCCGACGAACTCACCTTTCTAGTGGGCCGAAAACGGAATACCAGAACACTTGCTGGGGGTGTGGATTACGCCAGGAGGGTCACCAGGGCCGGTGTCGGATAAAGCTTTTGAGCGGGCTATCACGGTTCTAAGTTGCTGGGAGACAAAGCACTTAAAAACCTCGGCGAGGGTCACCATTATCAACAGCTATGCGGTGCCGATATTGCTCTTCCAAACGGAAATCTACGCCCCGCCCTATGATATCTAGAAGAAGGTGAAGCGGCTTTGCCACAATTTCATTTCCGGTGGCAAGGCCCTCTTCGATAAGCAATTTATACTCTGGAGCTATGAACTGTCCTGCAAGGAGCAGAAAGATGGGGGTCTGGGGGTCATCGACCCAAAATACAGAATTGATAGTGCAGTAATCCAGTTACTGGGGAAAGCAGTAGCTGAGCAGACGCCCCTGAAGAACTGGTTGTGGGAAGTTTTTCTTCAGAGGCAAGTCCCCTTTCGGTGGTCAGAAAGGGTCGCTTTGCCTGAAAGGAGTAAAGCTGGGGGACCTCATCGAAAAATGGTTAGATGGGAGCACAACACTCAAAAGCAACACCATGCTGGAGAGGGAGCTCGGAGGGGAGGAGCAGAGGAAGTGGGCGGTGAAAGCACGGGAGGCGTCGCCATAGAGCTGGCGAGACATGGTGCTGAAAAAAATAAACTGCTGAAGAGGTTTTCATAGCTACCAGGCTGGTGCGCACGCCATCTTACCGGCCAGGGGCCTTCTTTTATTACTGAGTGGAGTTTGTGAGAGATGGCGAGTTATACGGAACAAGAGTGACAGTTGACAAGAAGGGCACGGTGCACAGAATGGAATATGCCAGCCTAACGACAGTCAACTTCCTGAGCAGCGCCCCCATGGTGGAGATAGGTGAAAGTACGAGGTCTGTTGGGATCCCCAAGGACAAGACTTCTACGCTCGCAGATATGCGATAGAGGCGAGCGGGCTGAGCTAAGGAACCTGAGGAAGGCGATGAAACCTCAGCGTCCCAACTAAAGCAGCAACTGCAGTGGGAAGAGGCGGTGGGAAGGAGGATTGAATGGAAAAAAGCTATCTGAGTTCGTGATTCGATGGCGACACCGGGCAGGGCACGGGAGGTGATTTTGCGAGTGCATAGCAACAATCTCCAAGTGGGTGAATGGCTACCTTTTTTGAGGGCAAGGGCACGATGTATACATTGCGGAGGAACGAAATCACAGAACTGTGAAGAAATGAGGAATGAATGCACTGGGAAACAGGTAGGTACAAGTAGGAAAACCTAAAAGTGTTGTACCCCATATTGTCTACCCCACTACAGCCTACACAGACAATAGCATATGAGTTTGACACACCCCCATAGGCAAAGTGGGGAAGAACAAGAGGTCACAAGACCAGTCAAGCAAAGCAAAGCAAGCTCAGGGTGGATCACAACGTCACCACACATTCCGAGCACAAGTTCAAGGCCACAAGGCCAGTTCACATGCAAGATCATATATAAAGGTAGACAAGCAAGTGCAGGTATAGAAAGATCACAGTACAAGCAAGGTCAAGAAGTGAGCAAGTGAGGCCAAGTAGGCACAAGACCTAGCATCGTACAGCAGTGCTGATGATCACAAGGCGGAAGTGCCTTGGTAAAGATATCAGGAGTGTTGGCCTCAGAGGCCACGTAAGCAAGGCGCAGCTGACCACGCTGCTGCAGCTCACGAGCAAGGAAGTAGCGAAGAGCAATGTGCTTTGTTCTGTGCTCCAGTCTGTGCTCCCGACACAATGCCAGCATGGCCTTGTTGTCTACGTACAGAACTGGAGGAGAACAAGGAGGCTCTCCTAGGTCAGACAGCAGGTAGGTGAGCCAGCGTAGCTCCTGTGCAGCCATGGCCCCCGCGTAGATCTCAGCCTCAAAGCTGGAGCCGAGAACAGAAGACGAGCGGGTAGACCACCACGAAACAGAGCCAGAACCAAGGCTGAAAGTGTAGCCCTGTGACGACCGCTGCGTAGCCTGGTCGTCAGCCCAAGAAGCGTCAGCGTGACCTGTGAGGACCACTGAACGCCGCCCTCCAAGCACTAGCCCAATGCCCGACGTACTGCACAAGTAGCGCAACACCCTCTTTGCTGCAGCCATGTGCTCTGGTCGGTGTCTCCCAGGAGCAACATAGCGTGCCAAGATGTTGAGAGGGTATGCAAGGTCAGGTCGTGTGCAGGTCATCAGGTACATGAGGCAGCCAACAAGCTCTGGGTACGGGCCACTCGGCTCTACGGACTCATCCGAAGGCAGAGCTGAGAGCGAGTGGCGAGTAGGCAGAGGAGTGGCCTGAGGCGAGGAGTACGTGGAGTCGAAGCGTTGAAGGACCTGCTGCACCATGTGTGACTGAGTCAGGGTAATGGTGCGGCGTGCTCTGTCCCGGGTGATCTGCAAGCCAAGGTAGCTGCGCAGTTCACCCAGGTCTGTGCACGTGTGTCTCTTCTGCAGCTCGGACTTCACGTGGGCGAGTCCAGCAGTGTCAGCAGTGGCAAAGACCAAGTCGTCGACGTATACGAGGATGTAGAATAGTGGCAAAGAGGTGTCGGTGCGCAGAAACAGCGACGGGTCGGCAGTAGAAGGAGCAAACCCAAGAGCCGCAAGTGTAGTCCTCAGTGTGTCGTGCCACTCACGGGGCGCCTGGCGGAGACCGTAGACTGGCCGCCGGAGGCTCCACTAGGTACCAGGAGGAAACGACCCAGTGAAGCCAGGTGGGCGGCGCAACCAGATCTCCTCGTGCAGGCTGCCCTGCAGGAAAGCTGTGCTGAAGTCAAGAGAGTGAAGCTCGTAGTCGAGCTGAGCGGCTATGTGCAGCAGCACCCGAAGAGTGGTCATCTTGGGGGTGGGAGAGAAGGTCTGAAAGTAGTCAACTCCCTGCCGCTGACTGAAGCCTCGAGCCACGTAACGCGCCTTGAAGACACGCGAAGAACCCGGCGGCCGCTTCACCCTGAAAATCCACATGCCACTGACGATGTTCGCCCCAGGTGGGGGAACCTCGTCGACGTAGGTGCCTGTGGACTTCCAGGAAGCCATCTCTGCGTCCATGGCTGACTGCCACTGAGAGGAGTAGGGACCCTCCATCGCCTCAGCGTACGATCGAGGAGTCGGGATGTCTGGTGCATCCGGGTCTCCCTCAGGGGCAATCAGCGTGGACACGAGATGAGGCAAAGCAGCAGCAAAACACTGGAACTCCTCCTGCCTCTCCTCAAGGACGTCCGTGCTAAGAGCACACTCACCTCTGACGGACGGAGGACAGACAGACTCAGACTCAGCAACAAGACTAGCGGCGTAGTCTATACGAGAACGAGCAGCAAAGTCGACAAGCTCAGCAACCAGGGCAGACGCAGCAGTGGACTCAAAGGAAGGGTCAGTGACAACAGTAGCGAGGAGACGCGTGACAATAGGACTGGCAGCACGAAGAGAGTCAGACTCCGGGTCAGCAAGAACAGGAAGAGAGGACTCTGGAGGAGACGGCAACGGGACACGCAGAGGAGCAGTGGAAGGATGCAGTGCCATCTGGTGTGTGCCTGGGACCGCAGAAGGACGCGGACGCGGAGCACGACTACTGGTGCGAGCAGCACGAACAGGCGACGCAGGACGAGACGCAGGCTCACGACGCTCAGCAAGACCTCGAGTAGGACCAGTGTAGGGAGAAGGAGCAGGTAGGGGGGAGGCGGGCTGGAACTGTGACCGCGACTGGACAGGCTGTGGACACTCTAAGGGAGGAGCAAGACCAGTAGAGCGCGGGAGACCAAGAACCTGCTGAAGGAGCGGAACGAAGTACGGCCGCGGCCGCGCAGCGCCTTCGGAAATAGCAGGGGCAGCACCAGTACCCCCAGCGGCAGCACCAGCGCCAGCAGCACCTCAAGCTCCAACAGCACCAACTCCAGCACCCTCAGAAGCACCAGCGCCAGCAGCACCTCCACCGCCAACACCCCCAGAAGCTCCAGCTCCAGCAGCCCTAGCAGCACCAACTCCAGCAGCTCCAGCAGCACCAACTCCAGCAGGACCGTCAGCTCCTGTACCGCCAGCAACTACAGCTGTACCTCCAGAAGGACCAACTCCAGCAGGACCAACTCCATCAGCCCCAGCAGCACCCCCAGTCCCAGCAGCTCCAGTACTGCCAGTACGAGCACCTCCAGGACCAGTGGCTCCAGTAACTCCAGTGGCGACCCCAGGGTCTGCAGCAATAGTAGCACCTCCACCTCTAGCAGCACGGCTCCAGCGCCTGGCAAACCACTAGCGCAGCTCTTGTGGAGAGGGTAGCTCCCGCCTCGACAAAGCACCCGAAGGGCCCCAAAACCCAGCACCGCTAGAGGCCACACGAGCAGACCCAGCACCCCGAGGCTCCGCACCCCCAGGCTCAGCACCCCCAGGCTCCGTACCCCCAGGCTCCGCACCCCGAGGCTCCGCACCCCGAGGCTCAGCACCCCCAGACTCAGCACCCCCAGACTCAGCACCCCCAGGCTCAGCACCCCTAACAGCACCAGAGTCAACAGCTACCTCGACAGGCTCGAGTGCGTCTACCTGGGACACACCTGAGGGGACAGGACCCTGAGGGGGGAGAGGGTCTACCGGGGGGGGGACCTGGCGCAAGGAAGAGCGGCGGCGGGGGGAGAGGCGCAGTGCGGTAGGGGAAGAGACGGTAGTAAGGCACCGACTCATCAATGGTGACGTCTTGGGAGGACAGAACACGGCGCGAGGTGGGGTGGTAAAACTGCCAATCAGGCGCGTCAGGGGGGAAGCCAAGGAAGACGCCGGGAACAGCACGGGGGGACAGCTTGTCCGCAGAAAAGTCGCGGACAAACGCCCGAGATCCTCAGACACGAAACGCAGACGCATCGCCAACCTTCCCCGTCCACCGCAAGGTGGGGGAGGTCTCTGCCAAGGAGACCCGGGGCTGAAGGTTGATCTGATGCGCTGCGTACTGAACCGCAAACGGCCACAGAAAATGGGGAGCAGCCGCATGGATCATGGACGTAGGAGCGACGTCCAT